TGTGTGTAATTGAACAAATCAAATAATTTTGCCAAAGACAGTCCTACCATGATAACCAGAATAACGAAATGTCATTCAAAGTGAGTTTTTACATGCGAATCGACCGAATCACCTACGTCTCTGGATACAATGATAAATGAAGTTCCAGGAATTTATTGTTTTCCTCGTATGGTAGATTTCGAGGTAAAGTGAATGTACCTTAGTCAGTTGTGGTAAATATTGAATCAAATCAAAGTAGACTCACATGGCTGTCATTTTCATAAGAAAACTCATCAGGTTATAATGACAAATATTGTTGTTTCGGAGAAATGACTCTGCTATTCAGCATAATCTGATCGAAGTGTTCAGCTAGATGTCAACCAATAATGATCATACTAATTGAAGTGACATAAGGTAGATATCATTTCACAGTAATGCCAATGTAGACAAAACTCATATTCACTGCATCAGGGATTAAGTTTTGAATCCACCTAGTCTTTGGATTATTATCAACATTTGGAGAACAAGCTTCGTGGATCAGCAGCAGCTATAGCATGCTTAAAACTGTCTTGAGTGTCGCACTAGACAGAACATAGTGAGACGTTGGTGTTGGCTAGAAATATGGAGTGTTGGGTTGCATATCATAAACACATGACTGTATGACTCAAATCACAAGTTGCACTGAATTTTTCAACGGTATGATCAGAATATTTTGAACATGATGGAATTTTGTGTGGTGACAGTCTATAAAGATACATTGTGTTTAATTGCTAGGTATCGATGAAAATGAAGTCATTCAACGAAATTGAAAACTAACACTGGTTAGCTTTATTAGATTTATTGAAATAATGAGGTCTTGCGCCTGCTAAGCCAATCAAGCGTGTTATCTCGGTGCGCTGTTTCTAAAGCTGTCTGTAAGTGCATGGTCGTTCATTAAACATTTGAGCTGTAGCGTGGTTATACGCACTCTCACTTCCTCACTTTCTATTTCATCACTAGATGTTTCTATTCCCTTCGATTCCGAGTATAAAACTGGACTTCAACAACAAGCATAAATTTTGTTGTATTTTCTGTTGTCATCTTCAGCCCGTCTCACCCTTGCTTCCTAATCTCTGATCTCTTCCATGCCAGCCTCTGTCAATTGCCTATCTCATTATTGCCCATCGCCCTTTCACTTGGGCAATTGTCTGGTGTGTGTTGTCAACCTACCTTCCTGTGATGGAACAATAAGGAGACTGGATCATGGCTTATTACGAAATTGAAAGAGAACCACTGTTCTTCTGATGGCGTCATTATCCTTAGTCTCACTCACCTCCTTTGAAAACACTTTTCCATCTGCACTCTCAACGTAATGGTGTTACTCAAGCATCCAGTATACTGTGGACTTTGTATTCTTTCACCTAAATAGATTCTCTTATTACGCATATGCAGAAGAATACCAAAATTTATTTCGGTAAATTTATGTCAACTTGTGCCACTGTGACTACCATTGTACTTCATCATTTCGGTTGTATGCAGCTGATGGCAGCCATTCAAATCAGGAAAATTCATTTCATTTTATCAAGACTGTCGACACACGAAGAAAAGACAATGAATTTTACGTTAACTTCCATAATACACCGGTGTATGCGACACATTGACAGCTGATGTAAAACAGTCAAGTCGAGGAAAAATAGACCTCGGAACATCGCACCAGAAAACTAGGTGTCTATTCGAGAAGGAATCAGAAAGGCGATGTCAATAATTGACATTCAAGAAAAGCCTATTTCAGCCTCGTGAGGCAAATAAAAGGATGGTTTGATCACTTCAAACTAATTTTGCCTCAGTTACCACCTGGTACTTGTTCAGGAATATCACCACTAACAACAGCCAATGCATAAGTGCTAGTGGACATCAGACCTTTAAAGCAGATTTCCAGCATGTAATCAAGACACGATAGCCAACTGGTAAAGCAGCAATACGGAATAGAATTCTTCTCTATGTGCTGAAATCTGATCCAAAGACAGTAGCCATCATTCTCACACTACAACTGCAAAACATCTGGAATGACTGAAGTTTGTCTATTGATTGGAAAACGTTACTGTCTAAAGCCACCTAAGAGGACGACTCAAGCCTCTCGAAGAAACAACGCAGAAACATCCGACAGTTGTTTGACAATGCCCATTTGACATGGTTCATGACAGCCTACTTAACGAAGTCTTTGAATTGAAGGTGATAAGAAGCAAGACATGGCTTTCTGCCTAAAATCACTGATGATATTCTCGAATAAGGAGGGCCGGATTATGCGGAAGGTCGTCATAGTAGAGTAAGAATACACGAATAAGTTGGAGCGTTAAAAAAACTTTGAAAGCACTGGACATCGCAGATCGTTTAGGTCTACAATAAAGCAAGCTAGGGGAGGTACAGGCAAAAACTAAAACACTGGCAGAAAAAGAACGTAAAGTCAGGACAACAGGTAAACACATAGAGACGATGTAGATGATGACTTCTATCAATTTACCGACTGACAACGATGACAAAAATACCTAATCTCTACCCAGTAGAGAAAATTGAAGGAGGTCGCTTACTTCACTCATCTAGGAAGCATTATTGCACCTACAGGCAATCGCTGGTGAGAAGGATGTGGAAAGAAGAATCCGAAAAAGAGACACACACCTACATTTTCAACTGGCAGCTGTACACTATTATCGACAGCTGCTATCGCTGACCCATCATGAAGATCATGTGGCCAGGCGTTCGAAAGTCATCATGAACAAGAAATGTAATGAACCAATCTAGGTCCTGACTTTCAAGAAGAATCCCGTAGGAAATAGTGAGATCATGGACCCACTGAAAATATCATCGGAAGATCGTGCACTACAGGTCATCACTCGAGAGAACGCTGAAGGGGTAACAAAGAGGCAGTTGTGTGATTTGCGGAGTTGAGAGCTTACAAGTGATCTTGGAGACACCTCAAGATGACTGCGAAGAACAGAACAACATGAAAGTTTGTTGTTTCACTCACAGTTCAGAGGGACAATATTTTGTTAAAATATACATAGGAACGGGTGTTTGGACATAAAATCCTCTCATGATATCTAGTTCGAAATATAATTCTTAAAATATGTCAGCTAAAGCAAGACAACTGCATATCAATGACAGCTAACCTGGTTATGAATTGTTCCAATAAACACAAAATATACCAGTAGTGAGTTTGAAAATAAGAACGAATTAAGGAAATGGTGATGGTCTACGCCAAAAATGATTATTTTGATTACTGAGAGAGAATACAAAACCATAAGGTATCTGAAAAATATTTGACATCTAATGTCCTGCAATACTTATTTACGAACCGTCCCAAAAAGTAAACACCAATACCAGCTGTAAAATCCCTAAAGATATGCTAATATTGATGGCTGAATCAAGACAATTTCTTGGTGTCTGAGCTGAGTGAAACGCAGTACACAACTGACGAGTTTGACTACATAGCAAAGAAACACCCGTTTGGTATCTCAATTAATTCGAGCATGATGGACAACCAACAAGACAGTCAGCCAGCAAGTGAGCCAGCATCAGTGGTATGCAACTACTCACCTTAATGCATAGGTAGTAAAACGTGTTAAACATACACGGTTTACTGCAAAAGCATAAATATACAAACAATGAGTATAATATCATGCATATATTTCAGGAGATTTTGAGAAGAAACATTCAGATCACCAACAATCTACTCATGGAAGCATATGACAGTCACCTTCATTGTGTACACCATATTCGTGTAGATAAAGCTGCGTGATTTCCCAAGATCCTGGAATTCCTAATTTTAATAACTGGCCATCTGATTCCCAGTATGAAGACATCGAAGACAGCTGTTGATGTGACTCAGAAGTAGGCAGGTTAGGAAGAGTTTCATTGATTTCAGAGTGATGACGGCGGCAAATGAGATTCCTATTACGGTTGGCTTTGACATTCTCATCCGTTCCGACTGCCTGTATTCGGAGTGATGGTGCCTTGTTCTACCATCAAAAGTGACTGCTCCTGTCTGTTAAGCTGTTGCTGCTGGTTGTGCTGGTAGTGTTGCTTGTTGTCTGCATCACATTCATCTTCTCCATGTTTTAAGGAAATCCCACGTTTGTTGGATGATTCTCCTGCCAGTTTGTTGGTTTCAGCTTGTTGTTGTCAATTGGGCATGGTAATGAACGTATTTGCCAAGGCAGTAGTATTGAGCATTTTCGACTAACCATTTCTTTCACAGTTGATGAAAGACATCTTTAGTTTGATGTATGGCTCTGTTAATCCCTGATTCATCTCACCACCAGACTTCAAAGATGTCTCTGACGTGGATGGCTACATGTCATATTGAACCTGACAGAAACAAACACATCATCTACGTGACACCATCATTGGAAGTAATAAATTATTCAACTATAACTCTGATCACTATCCACTTGAACAGTGGCTGATTTCCTCTTCACACCCAACCCATTGACTCATGTGATGACCTAGGAAGTTCACAAAGGAAATTTTTGATTCCTTTTTGAGAATACTGAAAGACAAATAAAAATTATCAGCCTACTGATTGTGTGAAAGTACGTGATTTGATGAAGCTGATTGTTGAAATGAATTCAGTGCACGTACCAGTTAACGATATGAGCAACTCCTCAAATGGTAAACCATTGAGAATTTTGAACAACTTTATCACCAAGTGAATAATTTTGCATAATTGAGCAATATCTACTAGAAAAGAAAGTACACATGCATTACAAATATATCCATGATGACAAATATAAAGCAGTGGTCCCTGGTGGCTAGCCAGCTATATCGAGGTGATTTCAAAACGGAGTAGTTTCACGTCTCTCCGATAGAACAAAAAGGCAGACGAAATAATTAAAACAGACATTTTTCAGCCTATCCGGCTCTCTGATCAGAGTCAAACGCAGTACAGAACTTACGGTTTAGACTCCCTTTGGTCGAAACACTTGTATGGTATCTCAATCATTTTGAACATGCAGGACATCCTGTAGTTATAAAAGAAGACTCACCAAGAACTCGGCCGATATCCTCTTTTCGTCAGCAGCTCATGTCGGTTTGCTTGTTCCAAGGAAATTGTCCTTGTACAGTCTTTATCTTGAATTGTTAGTGTCAGGTCATCATGCAAAGTATAGTTCACCCCATCGAAAGAAAAACAGTTATTTGTCCTCAAAACAAATTAAACAAGAAGGCATTTGTGTGGTTTAAAGGAAATGTTGGAAATCCGTTCACGTAGACTTAGCTCATGATTGGAGAGATATGATAGTGATCTAATGATCAACTCAGCTTTAGAGTTCAGCTGGCTGATATGTGTGACGAAAATGCGTGTTTTATTGACTCTTATCCGGCATGAATACGGAATTTCGTCCTACCCTTAGTCGTCATCCATTTCATGTCAGTAGAATTGTGTCAGCTCATGGCGATGGCTTGAACATTGCAGCAAATAAAAGATGTGGCTGTAAACTGTCACGCCTATCCTCAGGTTTACACTGGTGGGAATAGATTACATATTCAGAATTTACAATGAACATGGACAAATCAAACTGTTTAGGAGTGGATCACTCCAGGTATTCGGCAGAAACCGAATCAGCAACCTCCGCGTGATAAGACATGCCCAAAGTCCATGCAGTCACCTGAGACAACAATTTATAAGCCATCAGTTCTAACTCTTTATGGTCCTCGATAGAAAGCGTCATTGCTAGACTATTTCACCAGTGAGAATTCGCCGTCATGCACATTTCGGTCAAACCAGCTTTTTACAACATCCTACTAGAAATTCAAACAGAACTTCACAATCGCAGTTTCTTAGTCATCAAAGTCAAACTCAATAGAATCTCTGCAAACCAACACCTGAGGATTCAGACGAATTCAGTAATCCGCTACCTTCCTACCACTATTCCATAAATGTTCTTTAGATTTTGAGCGATTTCGACGGCGTTGCATTTACGAATGTGACGATTAGACACAGTTTGCTAATTTAAAATTCCGATTGTCCTATTAGTTATCTTCCAACCAATAACAGTATCATGTTTAACCATGGGTCGAAACCAGTTGGAGCAGCATTGGAGATAAACAGGGAGTACTGGACAGCTAGTTCACCATTGAAAGACAATTATTACGGGACAGTGGCTTAGTGGTCTACGAGCTCATCTTGTAATTACGGGACAATCATTTGGTCATTGTCTGCGGCCCCTCATTATTATGCACTCATCATCCAATGGAGAATGAAAGCAGGAGATGAGATAATCTCAGTCATTATTCATTCACTAAGATGCAATCCAGTGATATATGAATTCTCCCTTTTGCTAATTGGTGATGAACAGCTCCACTGCTATCCAGTCTCATAATAGGTGTTCTCACAGTGGTGACGAATCGTCACTGGGATTCCTGCGGTGACATCATCCTCCAGTCAGTCAGTCAACAGTGAGAAGTGCATTATTTTCAAGAAGTGATTTGTAGGGATACTTAGTCACAAAAATATCATATTGAACTCAGTTATTCAAACACATAGAATAAATTTGAATTACCTGATTCATCAACTGTCATACGAAGCATATACGTTGCTGATTCAATCTTCATAATATTGACTATGCACAGACTGACGAGTATGATGAGGTTTAATTTTGACAGATGAGGCACCATTTTACTAAAAAATTGATAAAAAACAAACCAAAGAGATTTCATTGAAGGTAATTTAACACAATTGACAGTCAGTGATTTGTGTTGCTTTGCCTTCAAAGTGTAACACAAGACTACAACAGGAATTTTCCACTGTCTCATATTTGCTGTTGTCCTGCAAACCATGAATCTACAATTTCCCTTAGGGAATATTATAACAAGCATAAACAAACCGCTGAGTGATTGAGATTAGTGGTTGTATGCCACACTTATATCAACCAGTAACGCCTTCTAGTCAGCAAGATAGACGTAGTTTAACCACAAGACGAACTTTCCGCTACTTTTGAACCGAACCCATCAGCAGGTGGCATTGACTCGCCCAATTAATTTTCATCACCCAATTTGTGTCATATACGGCTAACTGGAAATGAGTCGAACATGGTTAACAAAGGATAAATTCGCCTCCAGACGAGTAAGTTTCCCATACGGAATGTGAATCACTTATAAAATGCTGGCCAGCCAGCAAGCTAACAAGCTGTCAAGCATCACGTTTATAGAACTACTCATCACAATAAATCAATATTATGTGGCATCGTCCAATCATGGGAAGAGTGAATCCTATCACTATCAACCAACTCGTTGAAACTTGTATCAGCAGAAAGCGTTTCTTGATTATGCTGATGTCTTGGTGACCAGCCTATCACTTCCATCACCAAATGGATACATCAATGAGAGCGAATATGCAAAGCAGGATTCAAGTGATCAATGGTCATCAGCGAAACATGCCAATGTATCCAACAGTGAAATAGTGCCTGTGACCATTTCACAAGGTAGCAAGACATGTGAAGAATTGTAAAAAACGAGTCTCTGAGTGGTGTGGTGACAATTGATACGATTATGAACAATCAGAAACGTCAGAAACGCCATCTAGTAAATAGTGCTGTTTCACCATGTGATATACTCAATGATGGAGAGCAAGAGATGCTACCATTGTAGATTTCAACTACAAGCTGAAACCACCTTTATAACTCTCATCTTGGAGCTGGCACACGACATACAAGCAGTCATATTAATATCAGAATCCCCTAAATGAGTCATATAAAAGAAAAGACCTTCAGAGAAGAGCTTCTGTATTCAGTTGTATCATTCTCTAGCTGTACAATCACTATGGAAAAAGTGGACATTAGATTAGGTCTGTGCAAAACAATACTCAAGCCTCAGCAAAAATTGGAAAATTTGACTTCAAACGCATTGTTTAACTGGAAAATAGTTTCGACTGTGTTTATTCACATGTTCTGATCAGATGTTACTAAATCGAATACGCTTAATTTTCTGAATATTGAGTATTCTTCTTCCTCTCTCTCTCTGGGTTGTATTTCTTCTCCAATAAATTTATATTCATCGACTACTTTCGTATTGTTAAAGAATATATAGCGTTCTTGTGTTGAGATAGTAAGTGAATGATTGATTTCATTGCGTAGAGTGTCGTTGCTGTCGCTAACAGACAGCATCAGAGAAGCATGGATTCTTTTGTATTGCTCCCTATAGAAACAGGTAAAGCAGTTATATAAAAATTCACTCTATATCACAACAGGAAGAGCAGCCACGCCAAGTAGTGCATGAACGACAAAAACAAATATCACTTTCAAATACAGTTGCCAAACATGATACAAAATCGCAGACCCACTGACTTGGGTCAACCTGGACGTCTAAATCAAATAACATATAAAGTTATAGATATAAGTTAGTGTAAAGCAGTCACAAAATGGCGTACAGTTATTTATAGGTAGAAATAGTCAGACAGATTACGTCCACAGATTCAGCGTTCGAAGGTATTTGAGTTCCAACAAATTCTGCAACTTGCTGGACAAAACCAACAGAGAAATGAGAGATTAGTTGAAACAGTTAAATGTAACACACAATTTCAGAAGTTCGTTACATTTAGAATCTCATCATCGGTGTGTATGTGTTCTCACAATAGTCATTCATTCTCAGTGGTATTCCGGATGACTTTGTCTTGAGATTTGTCAGTCATCACTGAGAAGTGGAATGATTTCCAAGAAGAACGTTTTAGCGGAATTCAGTGAGAGTAATATCCCATTTACTTCGTTCATCTACATACATAATGTACCTTCGGCTAAGTCAAATCAGATAGCTGACTCAATTCGAACCACACTATGTCTACATTAGTAAACAAAACTAGCCAGAATCACCTCCACTTATATCATACTGACCAGACAGCAAGCTAACAAGCAAGCAAAAAGCACTTCTATGCAAATGATCATCAAAATAAATCAGTATTATGTGGCGTCATGCAATGGAAACAGTGAGTCAGATCACCTCGAATAATGTTGATTACTCTGACGACCGTTTCCAACACTGCCGACCTGCAGTTTCAGAGGTTTTTACTAAACAGCTGGCAACTCATCCTCAACGGTGTCACTCGTCCACAAGATGTGCTCCCGAATCGCCATTCAACGAAATGTCGTGCACTTCTCGAAGCAGGAAAGTGAGAGATATTCTAGTGATGGATAGGGTTGAGCTTCAGGTCAGACACAACTGTGTCAAGCAATATAATGACAATCAAAACTTTTATTTGAATATCCTGAACGAGGAGGAAATATCCCGGAAGCGAATCCACTGAAAAATTACGTGCATTGTTTGAGTAACATAATGAAGAATCATTCACTTGTTGATTAAACTGTTCAACATTTCATCAGTTCACGACACAGAATTCGTATCCTATGTATCCTCAAGCTTGTCTCACACCATTTCCCAAATATTTTCCAGTTTTCCAATTTGATGTGTATTGCACATGACATTTTACTTTTCGTATACTATTTGTTAAGAGGTGAGATAAACAGCATTGATACTATAATTCGACATGCGTATTTTCATTTGTTAATGTTTAGACTATTATGTATCGCCGGTAAATTCACGAACATTATGTGTATTTCATAAATGTGTAAAACTTTGCTGAACTGCGGGCGAAAACCAACAGACTGGAAGAAAACAGTAAACCAGCGAATACAGGACTTCAAGTGAAAGGATAGAAGCTGAAAGTGATGAAGTTAACCAAAGAAGAAAATAACAACAATTACCAATCGCCATCAACTGTGAATTATAGGCGATCGTCGGACGAGCCATACATGACCGCGAAGAATAGAATAAGGTTAAACTGTGCTATTGAATCCTTATATAACAAAAGCGAGTCGCATGGGGAATCTTTTCATCGGTGAGTATATGATCTGACAGTGGTCATCAATTCTCAGTGTTATTCCAGGAAACTCTGCCCTGCACTTAGTCACTCACCACTGAGCAGTAGAATGACTTTCAAGGAGAGATTTGTCGCGTAAGAGTGATATCACAATCACTTCAGTCATTTACCTGTGTAGTGTACCTGGTCTAACACATCTCAGATAACTGACTCAATTCAAACCATACCATGTCTTAATTAGTAAACAAACAGAGGACTTCGCTCCACTACTCATATGCTGGCCAGACAGGAAACAAACAAGCAATCAAGCATCAATTGCATGCAACTAATCATGATAAAAAGCTGTGGTATACGGTGTCAAGTGGAAGGATAGAACTTTAAAGACATGAAGTTAACCAACAAACTAGGCAAAAAGAATTACCAATCATCATTAACCTTGGATTTTCGGTGAACGTCGGATGAGCCACAGAGGACCGCGGAGTACTCTCCGCGGCCAAGGCTCAACTGTGCTGTTCAATCAAAATTAACCACTCGGAACCCAAGAAAACAAAAATAACACTAAAAAATATGAGTCATTCGTTGTTCATTACACTTGAATCGTCCTAATCAGAGTTGAGAAAAATTTGAGATACGTCGTCTCGCTAATTTCGATGAATATATGTAAAGTCTGATTGAAAAAATGTTAAATCAGATTTGAAATTTGAAAGCCGGCCTGAATGTTAGAGAAGGGTTGATTCCTCAAAAAACCTACAGAGAGAGAATTGAGATTCGAAGGTATATAACTGTGTACATTTTTAAGTCCAGCAGATCGACATTCCTAAATTAATCGATAGAATCGACAGATTCTAAGCCAAGAGCTCCACTTCAACGAGTCCAACGATACCTCTTACCAGTTTCGTCATTGAGTCATAAGAAGAAACAAGCTTATCCAGTATTGAATGAAGTCCAAAACCTTGTTCAGTCAAAAACATATATGTTGTGATCGTTGTAACCACAAAATCAGCCACGAGGACGCCATCCATTCTCTTCTAGCTGAACTTCAACAGAAATTTGAGGTAAAGCAATCAGATCAAAAGCAACAGTATATCAAAACGGGAAGAGCAGCGACAACAAGAACCGTAGAAACATATCACTGTTAAATAAAGTTGGCAAAAATGATACGTAACCACAGATGCACCGACTTTGGCCAACTTGGACGTCTAAATACAATAATTTATACAGTTATAGATATTAGTTAGTGTAAAACAGTCACAAAAATGGCAAACAGCTATTTATAGGCAGAAATAGTCAGGTAGATTACATCCACAGATTCAGTGTTCGAAGGTAAATGAATTCCAATAAATTCTACAACTTGCTGACCAGAAACATCAGGGGAATTAGAGTAATGCGTCAACATTTAAATGTGACGCATCATTCGAAAGCGAGTCACAAGTGGAATTTCATCATCAGTGAGTATACGACCTCATAATGGTCACTTATTGTCTGTGGTATTACAGGAAACGTCCCCGTGCAGTTAGTCAGTCAGCAGTGTGGAGTAGAGTGATTTTCACGAAGTGATTCGTCGCAAAATTCAGTGAGAGTAATATCACATTCTTTTAAGTCATTTATATGCGTTGTGTACCAGGTCTAACACAACTCAAATAGCTGACTCAATTCAAACCACACCATGTCTAAATTGGTAAACAAATTTCGGACCTAGCTCCACTTTTATCATGCTGGCCAACCAGCAAGCCAACAAGTAATTAAACATTATATGCAACTTGTGTTCACGATAAATCAGTACTTTATGGTGTCATGCATTCATGGACAC